CACAGAGAGCAGCAGGGCTATGGGCAGGGATTCCCAGTGGAGGCATCATCCATGCAGCAGCTGGGAAGGGCAGGAGGATTGATGCCGCCTCCCACAAAACCAGGAAAACTCCCGTCTGGAAGGAACTGTGAAGGATCCCCATGTCCCTTCTGTGGTTTCCCTGACACCTGCAGAGATAGGGAGCTCACCACCTCCAATGGGAGAAGCCATATGTGGTACCATGGGAATAGGCTCAGGCTTAGGAGCAAGAGGTCGGGGCTCAAGGCCCTGCTATTCAGCGCATGCCCAGTGACAGCAGACTGTCTGGGCCCAGTCTGACTCAGCGGCCCCATCCAGCCCTGGAATCTACTCCACACATTTGTCACCATCGGGGCAGGTGGGTCTGGGCAGCTGTTCTCCTGCTATGGGTCAGAAACCCAGTGTGTCAGCCACAGAGCCACAGCCTGAGGGCCAGACTCAGCCAGGGACCCAGGAGGTCAGTCACTCAGTGCAGCCCTCAAGGACCACAGAAACTCAGCCCAGCAGAGAATTTTCCAAGTTACAGTCACCTCTCCTTGCCAGGATTCTAAATTCTAAAGAAAAACTGTACCCCAACAACTAACATAACTGCTGAGCACAGAAGCCATAACATCGGGGACCTCCGATCACATCAGGATGTGTGATGCCCCTCCTTATTTTCTGGTTCCGTACAGCAGCAAGCACAGAGCACATACACTGTGAGGTTTATTTGCAGTGAAGAGGTCTGCATGTCTACAGACCAGCAGGAGCCAGCCCCTGCGGTTACGGTCAATTGGAATGTTCTGATCACAGCAGGAAGAAAGGAGACCCATACCCTGAGGACAAAAACCTGCTCGGCGTGGCTTTCCTGCCCATCATCAGATCGGACTGTGCCTCCTCTCATCCCTGTAAAAAGACCTTCCATGTACCTGAGTCCCCCACACAACTCCTCAGACCAGCAGATCAAACCCTTAGAAGGGCACAGCCCAGGGTGGGCACTCTGAAACGGGCACCTTTTCCAGTGGCATCCTGAGAGTGGCTCTGGAATAATGTCTCTACTGCTCCCTGAAGGAAGGGCTGGCTGGTGGCCCAGGACAGTGACAATAACAACAGCACCGATGGTGCGCCAGGCACAATGCTCAGCGCATAAAATCCGATGGGTCCCTCTACCCTCTTAAGACACTCTCACCACCCTCGCTTGGCAAATTATGAAAAGGAAGAACACAGTCTTTCAAATGAGGACAGTGCAGGTGAGACTCACAGGGCTGGGACAGCGGGGCTGGAGTCTCCATATCACCATTCCCTACAATGTGTATGCTCGCAGTTAATCCCCAGGGGGTCTCTCTTAGCCATTAGAGGCTTTGGCGTCCTCATCTCCATTTTATAGCCTACGTAATGAAGCTTAAAGAAAGTAAGCCACTTGCTCAAGGCACTTATAAAGGACTCAATCTAGTTGTATCTCAATCACACCACTGGGATAAAACCCTGAGCAAGGCTTACAGGGATCCTTGAAGCCACACATTTTGTCGGGTACACAAACTTCACAGCCAGCCGGAGGTGACTTACATTTCAGTGATAACCCTACTGCTATCTCCACGCACAGGTATGGAAACTGAGGCCCAGAGAAACTGTGATTTTGACACCAGGATACAAGGCTTCCATGTCCATCCACTTTGCCTCCTGACCCTGGAAGACCCAGAAAGGGTGACTGAGAGGCAGACGACAAAGGTCTTAGACCAGAGAGTGGCATCTGAGAGGTAGCAGAGGCAGCATTGTAGCTCTTGGAGGTGAAGTGGTCCTGAGCCTCGGGAGCCAGCCTGGAGCCATCAGCTGCAGGCTCACTGACCCTTCAAGGGTGAGAGCCATGGCTGTGACACTGAGCGCCTCGCCCAGGTCATCTCCCAGGAGTGCAGAGAGACCTCTCTGCTGGTCCCAGAAGCGCTGCCAGCTCCTCCAGGGCTGAGGTCTTTTGTCCGGCCACATGGAACTGCCAAGCTCATCACAGCCCCCTAAGCTGGTGCCAGCCCAGGAGCTTAGCACCCACCACTCTGGCCTCACTACCAAATCACAGCCCAGGCTGGCAGGAGGCGAGGTGAGTCTCACTGGTGCCCCGCTCTTGAAGAGCTGGGGCATGGAAAAAAGGCTTCCTGAATTGAGATAAAATGTGCCTAATCTGCCCAGCAGGAGACAAAGATAGCCAGATGATCTTCTGAATGCTTTCCCACATCAAGACCTTTAATGCTCATGACAGCTCCCTGAAGAAGACGCAGTCACTAACCAGTCCACAGACAAGGAAACTGAGGCATAGACCAAAGTCCCCCAAACCTGAAATGAGTGACTCCAAGGTTCTCCGTAGGTAAGCTGGCCATGTTACCCATCTGTTAGGTCCTATTGTCCTAAAGAAACATGGACTTCACAGCGGAAGAGATGACGCTCAAAACAAGGCACCCAGCATAGTACCCAGCTCAGGTGAGGAGCCTCATCCCTCTTACAGAGACCAAAGAAGCCCCAGACTCTGTGGGTTTCTCCTTGCCTCAGTGTCCTCATCTCTAAAGTGGCACAGCATACTAATCCCAGAGACCAGCGTCCTGCAGAACCTGAGCTCACAGAAGGAGTGGAATGCTCTAGCCCAGGCTGAGCCTCCAGGGAACCCTGGAGACTTTTGGGCCTGGGGAGGTGTCCTGGCCCACCTCATGTCAGGGCTGGCCAGCAGGGGAACAGGCAGAGCACCCTTCACCCCTGCAGCCCAGGTCTAAGTCCAGAATCTACGAGGGTCTGCCTAGGACTTTCAGGAGCCCCAGATGGGGCAGAAGGACCCGGGCTTGGCACAGAATGGCTCAGGGGAGAGCAGGCTGGGAGGCGGGGCTGGCCCGGCAACCCGCTCATTTGAGAGGCCCCTTTGTGCCAGCCCTGCCCCACCCCCATTTGCCATCTGCCGGGTCCCTGGAGTCTGGTCACCCTCGGCTGCCGGGTGTGCTCACATGATGCCCCCATCTGCTGTGAGTCAGAAGGCGGGGTCCACACAGCCATCCCAAGGACGGGAATGTGGTGGGGCAGCACTGGGGTCTGGGTCTGCATGGTCACATCCCCAGTTGTCCCTACAACCATCTCCCACTGTTTGCTCTACAGCCTTCCACGGCACCCTGTCCCTTCCCCTGCCATCTCGAAGCCCACCTTGCAGTCCTGAAGCAGGCACGGTGCCCACCACCCACATACAATCCCCTTCATGACAGTCCTGGCCCGCTCTCCCTTCTGCCCACACAGCACAGTACAGCCTGCCCTCCCCTCCTACTTGGCCTGGCCAAAGCCACCATACCTGAGTCCGCCCCGTGGCTCGTCTGCAGAGCAGACTGGGACTGCCAGCCTGGCACCTCCAGAGACCATGCCTCCAATGCCTCCATCATCCAGTGCCTGCCCCATCTTGTCATTCCTCAAATCATTTGCCCAGAATGCCCCAAGCGAGCTCCTAGAGGCACATCAAAGACTGCTCCTCTCCCATTGTTCTCAGGGCACAGCCCCTGGGTCCTCCAGGAGGTCAGGAGGACTCTACTGCTCCCAGCACTCAGGCAGCTTATCTCCCTCCTCAGTCTCTCCAACCCGGTTGTGTCCCTCACAAGGTGAGGGTGTCAGCCCAGTGGCCTGGCCCCTGCCTAGGTCAGTAAAGTCATAGCACAGTGCAAGCTGCACACACAGCCTCCCACTCACCAACCACACCTGGATTTAGGGCTCTGCCCACTATATCTTCAGAGCCAAGCTCTGGACCCTGGAGCCTGGGCAGCGATGGTCACCACCATACACACATGTACTCTGGGATAACTGAGGCACAGGGCGGAGGTCAGACAAGTCGTGCCTCAGCCCAGTTGGGGTTGTATCTTAGGTGTCTGGGGTCCCTGAAGCAGAGGTCAGGGCTGAGCCAAGAGTTCCACTCCAGGACAAAAGAGAAAGAATCCACAGGTGCGTTGGCCTGGGTACTGGGGATTCACAGCAGGCTATGACTCTCACTGACCATAACCGCTCCTTTTCACACTCCCTGACCCCAGCGAACCAACCCTGTGATACTGGGGATCTGCAGGGAGGGAGTACAGGCAGAATCATCCACAAATTTCAGCAGATCTTATTTGCCTGATTTATGGCCATGCTTCAGGCAGTATGGTGTACACAGTGGGTGCTTAATAAATATCCAAATAAATAACTTTCACTACTTTCTGAAGGAAGCATAAAAGTGATTCCAAACCACCCTGCCTACTCAGGTCACAGTTGCTCCAGGTGAGAACAAGGGGATGAGAGGGACCCTGCCTCGACCCATCCCAATCCACCCTCAGCAAAATGAGGACCCTGACCCAGCACCACCCAAAGACGGTGGGGTGTGGGGAAGATGGGTTTTTGCTCAGTGGAGCAGGGAAGAAAACCCATCAGTCCCAAGCAGATGGTCATCAAGCCTGATGGTTAATGCCCCTCAGCCTGGCTTCGCCATCCATGTGCTCTGGTTCCTGGGATTCTCACACCTAGGTGCCTCTCTGTCAGACTTTTCTACCAGGTGACAAAAACCTGGTCTGCCCTGGCTTGCCACAAGGACCCCAGATAAGGCCCCCGAGACAGCTGCATGGGAAACTACTCTAACATATCCCTATGCTGCCCCCCATAATAGCCACTTTCTCATCCCTGGACTCCTGTGTGACCTTGGACAAGCCACCTGCCCACTCAGAGCCTCAGTTCTCCCATCTGTGTAATAGGAGCTGCAATTTCAAGAGCCCAGAGACTGACCACTCTGAGGCTCAGTTTCTCTTGTTACCAAAAGACCAGTGGCTCGGAAAGGTTCCCCTCCTCCTGAGCTCCATCCCCTGCCCGGACACCATCCAGTTCATACACCCTCTACTCTACACACCCTTCCACAGCTGTGCTCAACTGGGATCCAGCCCAGTGAGCTACCCACCCTCTGCATGAGCGGGCATGAACACATGCATTCGGGCACACACACACATATCACACAGCACTCCTCCTACCTGGGGGGCTGTTGAGTCCTTGGCCAGGTACCAAGTGCCAGTTGGGGGTCTTGTGAAGGATGGGGTGCCTGGACCACCTTGCCAGGTCCACCTCTGAGGTTCAACCTGCTGGTCCCGGTCCTGCTGTCCGTGAGCACAGCTGGTAAGTGGGTGTGGGAGGCCCAGGTCCCTCTCCTGCTCTCCTGCCGCAGAGCAGGGCGGCCGCCAGCGTGAAAGGAGCCAGGGGAGGAGCTGGCTGGCTGTTTGTGGGGGGACACCTCCTCCTGCCCCAGCTGGGCTCCTCCCTCTTCAACAGGCTGGGCTGGGATGACAGGATTGAGTAGGTGAGTCATGGATTTCTCAGAAGGAGGGGGTAGAGCGGAGGCTGTGACCCTGGGGGATGCCCGTGACTCAGCACTCGGTGAGGGGGAACCTCGGCCTCACCAATCACCATCCATGCCCATAGGTACCAGCCTTGAGGGACAGACATGGGCCGGGGTGATGCTGCCTCTTCACCCTGTATCTGTCTCTCTCCTGGGGCTGTTCTCTCAGAAGTTTCCCCAGAAGCCAGAGTTGCCACGGCAACAGGCCACTCAGATGCTGCCACTGCCCACCCCCCACAACTGGCCCTTCCTGAGGGAGAGTCCAGCCTCCTTGGCAGCGATCAGGAGCCGGTGCTGACCGGAAGGCGCGCCAGGAGGAAAGGGGTGTCGGCAATCTGGCAGGAGGCCATGCAAGTGATCACTGACCTAGAGTCTGTCCTTCTGAGCAAAGCTCCCATGTCACAGCTCCCTAGGCATCCACAGTCCCAACCTGCAAAACTCAATTTCTAGGTCCTCAGACCCTAGAGGTCTCTGGAAATGGCCTTCTGTAGTCTGTCTGCCATGCCAAAGGGGGAAACTGAGGCCTAAGTGAAAATCATTCCCAGTGATTCCAAAAGGTCCAAGAGACAAACGTGGAAGTGGGCCGATGTCCCCATCCCCTTTCTGGATGGCTTCTGTCACTGTCAGCTGCCTGCTCCCCTGGGTAAAGTTCATGGCCCCTCTAGAGCCTGGTGGGGAAACTCTGGAGAAATCTACGCCCATGGAGTGGGGACACCCGTGTGCCCCGCTTCTGAGCAGGGTGGATAATGACTCCCATGTCCTAAGTGCTCAGATTTCTCAACATAACGAGGGCAAGTGGTGACAACAGCAATAATAACAGTAATCAGAACACCGATTACACTTACTGGCCACTTACTGTGTTTCAGTGTTTTCCCCACGCCATCTCCTTAAGTAGCCACCTGACCCCTTAATAAATATCCCCTGGGAAGGTGGTAATGGACAAGGCAAGAAGTGAAGCTCAGAGAAGAGAAGCAACTTGCCCAAGGTCACACAGCTGGGAGCTGGAGAGTTTTCCTAAGCATACATAAACCCTGCCTCAAGATGTACAGTGTGCTCGCTTCCTGCCGCCTCTCCCACTGGGGTCTGCATTCTAGAAGAAAGGCCTGGCAGAGCTGCCCATGAGACATGCTGGCAGCACCAATGGATGCTTTCCTGGCAGCCTAGAAGGCAGATCTGCTGGAGATGAACTGTACCCCTCACCTGCCTGCGCCAAATTAAGCTGCAAGAGGAGGAAGGGCAGAAAAGCCACACACGGGCACCATCAGGTTCCAGCGCCAAAGCTCCCTGAAAGCTGTTCTGTGCTCCCCAAAGTCACAACTCCACTGTCCAGGCTGTGGCAGGGGCCTGCACGATGCCATAGTGGGCTTTTGGTCCACATGGGATCTGCTCCCAGCTGGACCACATCAGGTCCCGACTTGTTGCCAGGGGATGAGGGACCTACAAACTAGGGGGCACAAGTGAGATTTCCAGAAAGGGATGGGAATCCCTGGCATGCCAAGACCCCAGCAGGTTGCCTCAGTTTCCCCATTGTTGACCTTTCAGGGCATTGCCAGATGGCAGCTGAGGCAGCCTCAGCTGTATACCCTACAGAGAGTGCTGGCTGGCAGGGCTCAGGGGAGATGAAGACACAGTACAGTCGAAGAAGAATACTGTTAGGAAGGAACCCAGGTCTCAGGGTTGCCCAGAGCTGCCAAATCTGAGCCTGTGGTTTAATAAGATACCTGGGGGGTCCAGTCCCTGATAAGCCATGACAGGACTTCCCTCTGACTCCAGGGGGTCAAAGCAGCCATGGTGGGTGATGGAGGCCACCTGGGGCCTTGAAGAAGATGGTCACAGAGGGGTGGTGTGGGCCAGAGTCAGGAACAGGAGCCCTACCACAGATGGGAGATTAGGGACATAGGGGAAGATGTCAGAACTTTCCCTAAGTGTGGGGTACAGGCATGGGAGGCAGGGGATGCTGCCTTGGGGCACCGTGAAAGGGGAGTGGCCCTGTGGTCCTGTGGCATGTAGGGGAGACACGTGACCCCTGTTTCCAACAGCCAGCTGGAGAACCTTGTAGGGCAGCCAAGGGCTCTGCTGGCCCAGAGAAGGTCTGTTACTGGCCGGTGTCGGAGGTGAGAGCTGGTGCAGGGAGCAAAGAAAGCTGAAGCAGTCCCTTGGGGGTTGGGGGACAGAGGTGAGGATGCAGTGCGGCTATGATGTGTGGCCCAGACTCTGCACTCAGGCAGCTGGTTTCCACCCTGGGCTCTGCCACCCAGGTGACTTGAGCAAGCTTCTCTCTCTACCCTCCCGTCCTTCCTTGTCAGGTGAGGACATAAATAACACCACCTATTGGGCACAGAAATGAGGCCACATAGACAGGCCTGGGACAAAATAAACACCCTGATGGCATTGCTAGGGCGTTGTCATTCAGACCAGCAAAGGTGACAGAGAAGCAGTGCTATGGAGAAGGAGAGATCTTCAGGATCCCAGGACAGGGTGAAGAGGCCTGTCCCTTCCTGTGACTGAGATGTGGGCCAGGTCTGGGTACAAAGCGGAACATGGGGCTGCAGGCAATCAGCCCTCAGGCCCTCTCTTACCCCAGAGTGACTTTTGGTGTGAGCCAATCTCACCACAGTAAAGAGCTGTGCCTGCGCTTGGGGAGGTGGCTACTGCTGCCTGCCCAGAAGTGGGCTCTTACTGCAAGGGGGCTTCCAGTCCAGTGTGTAAGGACCAAAGGCCCAGGCCCCCACAGTGTGCAGAGCCCTCTCCCATGCAGCATCCTCTGCAAAACAGGGATGACTGGTCCACTTAGCAGAGATAGAAACCGAGGCCCAGAGAGAAGACTGTTCCGAAGTCAGCAGCCTGTGCGCCAGACGCAGGTTTCATGGCCAATGCTCCCAGCCACCTCCCTGCTCATTCCCGTGGGAAAGCCTCCTGCCCACAAGCGTGGGGGCAGCACAACCCCGTGATAAGGCCGCCGTCTCCGTCATGCCTGCCCCAGGGCCCAGCAGGGACGGCAGTGCCCATGTGACTCAGCTACCCTCACAAAGGGAGCTGTGTACCCTGTGCCCAGGCTGCCTCCCTCCAGGGCCCAGCCCCCAGTGGGGAAGCGCAGGGAGCCTGACACAGCCACGAGGAGGAAGAGCAAGAGCTACCTTTCTAGGCCTGTCTGGTGGGGACTCGAGCCCAGGTGTTGGGTGCAAGGAACTGATGCCAGGTCCAGTGGTGGAATGAAAGGTCTGGCAACAGAGAGGTGAGGTGGCTCAGGTCGACTCTGGCGTCTGAGACCTTATTTGGAGTTCCAAGACCAGTCTTCCTCCCAGCGGCTTCCTGGGGGCGGGGCCGGCAGATGCCCCTCCCACCTCTACCTGCACTCCAGGTTTTAAAACACTGCTCCCTTTGGTCAGAGAAGAGGCACTCTCCAGATGCCCACATGCCGAGCAGGGCCATTATGTCCAAGCCGCAGCACTCCTCTCAACACCTTTCCCTGAGAGTTCCAGACTCAGAGCCCATGGGTTCCTGTCCTGTGACTTTTCTGCCACAGCTATGCTAAGGAGACTTTGCCCCACTGCCCACAGGAGACTGAGGCTCAGAGAGGGAGGCCAGCCTGGGATCACAGAGGATGGGAGCCAGGATCTGATTTTAGGGCCTGTTTCCTCCCCAGTACCCTCTTCCTGCTTCAATGGCATCTTGACCAAGGGCAACAAGTGGTGGCCTTGGACCTGGTGCGGACAGTCTTCCTCCCCCGTGAGCACCTTGTTCCTGCCTTGTGTGAAGGTGGCCAGTACAAAATGTAGCTCCTTAGACAGGTTTGGGTTGACTGGGCCTCCAGGGGCTGCCCCCACCTGCTTCCCAGGAGGTGGGCATGCCTGGGTGCCCAGCTGCCCAAGGCAGAGGTAGACGGGGCACATTCTGTCTCTTCCTAGGCATGATGGAATGTATGAACTTCCCAGTGTTACTTGGCAGGAGGGCTGGATCCAACCAGTACCACCCTTGAAGGTCACTGGCCATGCCGAAGCCCCTGAGCCTAACCTTGAACAATGTCTCTACAGCCAAAGTGCATGGCTTCCAGCCTGGGCCCCTCATAGTATGCAGGGTAGGGTGTCCAGAGGCCTGAGTTTCTCCCATGAGACTACACCACAGGGTTGAGGCCAGGTGACCAGGATGGAGCTGCACTGCTGTGCCTCTGGAGCCCGCAGTGCAGCCACTCCTCAGATGGGACCCCAGTGACCCAGTCAGTGTCCTGCTCAGAGGATCCTCACCTGGGAAGCTAAGCTCCTGAGACTAGGGATTCTGAACCTCTCTTCACCCATCTGGATTCTCCTGACACTGTCCCAAAGTCCCCAAATAGCCCATTGTGGGATCTGACATCAGATGGTCCCGACTGACCTTTTTGTGCCTCAGTGTTCTCAGGCGGACCATGGAGACGTGACCTATACCCAGCTTAGAAGCAAGAGTTCTTGGCATCTTGGGGTTGCACATTCTCTACTCACTGGGTTCTCTTTTAAAGCACAAATGTCCCATGTGTGGGAACAGAGGCGACTCTGACTCCTCTATAGGAATGCTGCCCTGGACAAGAGAGTCCAACCCTGGGGTCACCAGTATCCCCCATACAGGCCATCCCAGCTGCTGCTAGACAGTTGGGTCCCTTCTGTCGGTCACTCCCTAGGTCCTGACCTGGAAGGTTTGAGTGGCAGCTGCTGGACATCTGTCTTAGGTCAGGTGCCTCTGGTCAGTCAGTGAGGCATCGTCACACCTGTGCCATGATGCAAGTGAAGCCCAGAGTGGCTTAGTGACCACAAACAGATGGAACAGCAGACTGCAAAGAGAGCAGGATTTGTTCCATGCTCTGTGTGTGTGTGCGCGCATGTGTGTGTGTTTGTGTTTGGATTTTTGCAGTCTTGGGAATTGAACCCAGCCTCATGCAGGTAGGCAAACACCCTACCACTGAGCCACACCCCCACCCTTTAACCTTTATTTCTGAGACAGTCTTGTTAAATTGTCCAGACTAACTTTAAACTTGCAGTCCTCCTGCCTCAGTCTCTCAGGTAGCTGGGATTATAGATATGCACCACCAAGGCAGGTAATTTGCTCACGTCCCACAGAGTCCCTGGGGTCCTGGATCTCAAACACACACAGACACATGCAAACACGGACATGAGACACACTCAAACACACACATATGAATACACACACCCACAGAGCTGGTTGCTGCCCAGTACAACTATAATATAATGTGGGCTGTGGGGCACTTCTATTTCCTTATCTGAAACCACATTTTTTACAAAATAAAGAGCTAAATTTGTAACTATTCGTGGAAATCCCCCAGAGGACCCAACCCTCCACGCAGGAGACACCCAGAACCGTAGCCTTCTGCAATATCTCTGCCCCAGCAGTCGGGAGCCCCCAGGGTCTCCCCATAAGTGCTGGGGCGCAGATGGCTCAGAAGGCGTAATGGAGCAGTGAAGACAGCCACTCATTAGCAGGGGCTGCCTCGTGCACAGAGGGAATGTGGGGAGCCCATTTTGCTGTCCAAGTGCCCCAGGGAGCCCAGTTGGTAGACACGGAGCAAGAAGACGCCAGGCGCCCACCCGGCTCCCGCTCCCCACTGGCCCCCACCTGTGTCTGGCGGGGCTCCAGTGTTTGTTGTCAGGCTCTGCCCTCACACCTCACACCTCCCACACCAGACAGATGGAGAAGGGGCCCAGGCAAGGAAAGCAGAGTCTCCCGGAGGCCATGGTAGCCAGCACTGGCTACTTTTCCTCCGCAACAGCTCCCTGCCCACTGAAGAGTAGACTTGGCCCTCAGGGGGAGGCTCCATTTCACAGCCACCTCCTGCTCCAGGCAGCTGGGGCACAGTAGAGAACAAGGGAGCTGGGCAATGCCCCCAAGCCTGGGCCCAACCCTCCCACTAACTCCCCAGAAAGGCTAGCTGCTGCTTTCCTTGTTAAACGTCAAACAACCCAGGCCAACCTGCTCCCAAACCGGTTTCTCACGGGATCCTAGGAAGAAACAAGCTTTCTCAAGGAAGAGGAGGGGACAGGCAGGTTGCCCCAGGTGGGTGTGTGCCCCCTGCCTCCCCATCCAGGTGCAGGGTCCCAGCTGCACTCCCACCTTCAGGTCTGCCAGGTCTTCTGTCCCTGCTTGAATGCAGGGACACATCTCCCACCCCGCCAGTATCCCAGTGTCAGGATGATGGCCCATGAGCACGGCCAGCCCACACTGAGCAGCTACAGGGTCAGCACAGCCAACAAACTCAGCCTCTCCCCTTGAAGACACTCAGAAGTCTGGAGAGCCAAGAAGCACCAAACAGGTAACCCCAGGACACTGCACTGGACCCTAGGTTCGGCCAAGGTCAAGTGGCCAGGCTGGCTGCCACGCCGCCGCGGCTGACTCTTTCTCTCCCATCCCCACCCTAAACAGCAGCTTCTTACCTCCAGGTCTGGGCAGGCTCCTCTGCAGATTGCAAGTGCCACCTTTTCCCTCCTCTTCCTTTTCCCAGGACACCCAGCGCCCAGTCAGAGCGTCTCCTGGCACTCAGTGAGCCTGGCCAGGTAAGACTCCGCCTGCACGCTGGCTCCACTTCCGTTTGCCACTAGCCTGGCATTCCTGGGTTTCCCTGTAGGACCTGCGCTGGCTTTTGGAAACTGTCTCCCACTGTTGCCAGAGCCTGCCTGGACTTTTCCCTGAGAGGAAAGCATACACTGCTCCTGGATGTGTGGGGGTCACCAGCTGTCTCCGCCTGAGTGCCACCCCGGGCTGTCAGGGGAGCGTGCTGGCTCCATCTGCAATCTGCCAACACCTCCTGTGATTTTTCCCACCTCTTCTCTTCACCTGGACCCCACCTGAACCCCAGGTCCACACGCACCTGCTGCAATCAAAGGCAGACTCAGCCTTCGGTTGGTGGAGGTGGGAAGCCAAGGTGGAGCACAGGGTGGGGACTCAAAAGCTCCAGCCTCCTGCAGGACACAAAGAGGGACCCGAGGAGGCAAAAGGTGGGGACAAAGGTGAGAGTTTCTTCTTGGGTGGGGAAGTAGCAGCTGCTCCAAGCATCCAGGCCAGCTCTGCCCCCATCGGACCCACAGGAAGAGCCTGCCTAGTCCCAGCTCTACCCTTCAGGCCAGCAGTTGAGGTAAGTTCTCACACCCTGGCTCCCACTCCCAGGTGTCTGAAGGTCCCACTCCACCCCAACGCTGTGACCACTGGCTGAGCCACCACTACTGCCCAGGAGCAACCAGACAGTCATGATCATGATCGGCACCATATGGTCAGGATGGGTACCTCTGTGGGCCAGGCTGTATGGGAGGGGGGTGCTGTGGGTGCAGCGATGTTCCTGGGGACCCTTCCCTGATTTCTTCCTCCCCTCTGTCTCCTACAGCCACCAGGCACCTTCTCACTTCTCACCTTCTCGCCAACGCCCCACTGTTGGGATTATCCTTTCCTCTGCTGTGAGACACCCTGTGCAAGGCCTGGGTCCGAGCAGTGCTAGGTAAAGAAGGCAATGTGAGAAGGAAGGAAGGATGATGGACAGATGGAAGGATGGGCAGGTGGACAGATGCATGCATTTGTTGGGGGCTGGGCACTGTGATAGGCACAGAGGATATGGCTGCAAACTCAGCTCAGCTGTGAGACTGAGTGAAAGATCAATGTAGGAATGAGACCAGGGACGTGGTCTTCAGGAATGAGGGATGGATGGACAGATGTGTGGATCCAGGTCCAGCAAAGTATTGGAGGGTGTTCCAGTCCCCTGAGAAGGTGAGGGCAGAGTCATTTGCTGGCCACTGTTCAGCAGTGCCCAGGGCCCACCGGGGTTCCTGGCCCTCAGATCATCCCTTTGCTCCTCTTCCCCATGGAAATTCTTGTCTCCCCATGCAACCTCTGCTGCATCTGTGGACAGACACTCTGCTCTGCCCAGCAGTAAGTGTACACCTCCCCAGCTGAACACAAATCAAGGGCACCAGAAGGAGACAGCAGCAAGACAGCTTGACCCCTAAGGCCCGGAGTTTCCCTACAGCCCAGAGATGCCACCCACCCTGATAAGGACATAGGGCAGTCCCAGTGACTTCCTTTATGCCTTCTGCTGACACCCACTGCTCTGTTCACACTGCTGATACACACACTCCACATCCACCTCTGTCCTGGGGCCCCCTGGTGTGTGATGTAATCCCCAAGTCCTGCCACTTCAGCATCAGGACCTGAGGCTCCAAGCCCCAGGCTTGGGCCTGCTTTTCCTGAGGGCAGTTGGGGAGACTGTTGAAGTCTGTGGCTTGGGTCATCTATCAAATGAGGACACATGCCTTTGCTTTGCTCACCTCCAGAGGCAAAAGAGTCAAGAAGTTTCTTGGGCACATGAGAAATGCGTGGAGGTGGAAGCTTGGTCTCTTGCACTCCTGGTCTATGCAGCCCCTGGAACCAAATGGAACCGAAGCATCTAAACTGCATACCTGAAGGCTACAGGGTTGACTATAATCACCCTAACCCTGGCAACCACGCCCCAGGCTAAACCCACTGGGTGGATTTCCCCATCAACTTTTACCATGCCACTTGAGGCTGGGGCACTTAGTACTGTAGACCTACAGGCAAGATGAAGAGGGCTGAGGGACAGGCTTGAGGTCACACCCAGCCAATATATCTCCAGAGTTTGCAGGAGACTCTGAGGAAGCCCAGCCTTACCCTGAAAAATACCCTACCTCTACTTAATGCAGGGTCTCAGGGAGTGCATGAAATGCCTTTCCAGTCTTTCCTGTCTGCATGAAAAGACACCTTATACCTGTGCAGGACTCCAGGTTGAGGGTGAGCTCTGCATCTCCGAGGGAAGCAACAGAGGTGCATTAGGTGAAGCACTGCAGAGCAGCCGTATCTTTGGGAAGAACAAAATGGTTTCTAGGGTAACTTTCCATTCACAGGCTAATTTCCATGGGTCTTTTTCATCAGTTCCTCTATTCATCCACTAAACAAATATTTGCCCAGTAGCTCCTCGATGCCAGGCCTGTTTGCAAAAAGATTTCCTGAGGGCCATGGTACTCAAGCAGACTGTCTGGGAGTCTTAGCACGCTGGCTCATCTTCCTTAGACCAAGCTGTGCTTGTCTTGTCTGCAAACTAGAGGTGGCGGCAGCATCTACCTGTGTTTTGTGAGGATGAAATGCTAAAGTGCTCTGAACCATGGAGGCACACAGTTAAGTGCTGGATAAATGTTTGCCACATCCAAATGCAGAGGGAAATTTACATTCCTGGCTTCAGAAAGCCCCGCCTACCCTCCAAGTTGCTTCTGTTGAATGCAATTGGCCTCTATTCCTTTCATTAGATCAATAGGAAAATGTCCTGCCTTTGGGACACATCTAGAAGAAAATGGTCTACACGGCCAGATGTGGATGGGCAAGCCTATGGCTCTGAGCCAACCCCAAGATCAGCCCCGGGGGATCCCCATGCTTTCCAGAAGGGAACGGGAGGCTGATGGCACTGCCCTCCCCTTGATAAGTTAGAGTTCATCTCCACCTCTGCAGGCTTTATCACTTTCAAGCCCAGCCTTCTAGCTCTTTCAATATGTGGTCATCTCTCTATGCCCTGGCTGGGGTTAAGAGACCCGGTTCACCCAGCAGGCAAGTGCTGAGCGGGTCAGGGGTCTTCCCTCAGCCTCGCCTGCAAGATGATTGACAAATAGAGTGAGCATTTAAATTTTAAAAATGTATAACAGTAAAGAGCACATTGCCATTAATCTCCCTTAAAATACTCCCCCTGGCTTCAAGCACATCCCATGATTCTTGCCACTTTCTAAAGTAGTGCTGGAAGCTGTCTTTCATGAGTGTTTTTTGTAGCTATCTCTGGGGCTCAAATCAATTCAAAACCTACACAGCAATTTCTATCAAATAAAGACACAACAGTATAACGCATCCACACTATTGGCTGGATCTGGTACCAAGCAACTTTTGGCTCTCTTCCAAATCAAAATAGCCATGAAGAGTAAGTATTTTGAATCAGTTCAGGACACTAAAGCAGCCACAACAGTGCAACTTAAGACACTCATGAAAGTGGATTTCCAGAGCTGCTTCAGAAAGTATCAGGAACAATGGGATAAGTGTGTTTAAAACTGGACGTGGCAGAGTATATTAAGGGAGATAACGGGCTATGTGTCTTTAACAAATTGCTTTTAACTAAACCATTCGCCATAGTTTCCTGTATATGAAGACCCTGCATATGAAATGAGACTAATGGGGAACCCATCTTGCAATGCTTTGAGTCCTCAGAAATGAACAGTGTCAGCTGAAAGGCTCTCTTGACTGTGCCAGCAGTCTGAGCCCACAGAAGTCAACCCAAAGTAACAGCCTCAGTGAGTCAGCGGCAGCGGGCCACCCCTTCAGTGTTCCGTGACACTGTGGGAGCACTCCTGAAGTGGCACCAGAGCCTTCCCACATTTGCCCCAGGTCTCGAATTGACTGAGCCCTGTGGGGTTGAGGTCAAGACAACTGAGTAACCTTTTTCTGGGGCATTAGTAGCCAGGCATCCTCAGCGGCAGCACAGGAAACAGATGACAACTAAATGTCAAGAGTTTGTCAGAGACTGCAGGTTTAGAGCAGGGAAGCTCTGCATGGTGCTGACCTCTGGCCCCGAGGATGGTGAGAAACACCTCTCTCTGCAGCCCCAGAAGGGGTTCAAGACCTCAGGCTGGGACTGGGTCCCTCCTCTATCCCCACTCGCCCACCTGACAATTCTACCCACCCCATTTCATGACCCAGTTCTAGGGCAGCCCTTCCATGAAGCCTTCTTGGAGTTCTCCCTTCTTCCCTGATGGGTTCAGCTTCTGAACCTCTGAGCCCCAAAAGTCCCACATTTCTTTACCTGCAAGAATGCTCAGATCCAACTCTTTGAGCTTTGTCCCCACCAGACCCATCCCTCACCCTGCACAGTGTGATGATGATGAGTTTAATCCCCATAGCAGTCCTATTCAGGAGGTGACCATCGGGACTTCGGGTGAGAAGGATTGGGGCCAAAGATAGATAGCAACCTGCCCTAGGGCACATGGCCACTAAGTACCAGCAGCAGGCTTTGAGAAAAGGCCTGTGTTAGACCACAGATCTTTGATGTACCTCTATGCCATGCAGCCTCTAAATCAATGTATCCATTCATTCATTTGACAAACATTTGCCAACTACCATATCTCAAACTGGCCTCTGTGGGCATGAGACAAATATATCCCTGCCCTCCTGAACTTTATAGCTTGACAAAGTAGGGATTTTTAAAAAGTCATAAGGTGATTAATCAAGTAATCTAAAAAGTGAAGACAAATATTTACAAGCAACAAAAAAAGCGTGAAATAGGGAACTCACTTTTGCTGGGTAATCAGAGAAGACCTCTTAGAGTAGATGACATTTGCAACAAGGCCCTGATGGATAAGGAAGAGCTAGCTTTGGGGAAAATGGACATGGGGCACAGCAGACAAGGGAAGAGGAAAAGCATGTGCAAAATTCAGAGGACATACCACTCCAAGTGTGGAGCAACTGCCAGCTGGCAGGTGGGGCCAGAGCAGAGTCAAGAGAGGAGAACAAAGAGCAGAGATGTGCAGACAGGTGGAAGCGCGGTCATGTCCCAGAGCAGCAGGAAGTGCGGTGGAGGTAAGCAGGAGCCGAGGGCCCATTTACATTCAAGGGCAGCAGCTGGCAGACTCAGCCCTGCCCACCTAGGCCAAGGCAAATATATCCCTGCCCTCCTGAACTTTATAGCTTCTGTCCTGGCCGGGCAGAGCAGCCTCCTGCTCCTCCTCATCCCAACATGACAGGGTCTTGACAGCCAGAGAAGTAACAGAGGACCAAAAAGGAGCTCTGCAGAAGCCCCTCCCTGCTGCCACCAGGGTGCAGAGCAGGCAGCCATTCACCCTCTGGCCACCCAGCAAGCTGGAAGGCAGCATTGTGCCCTGGTCAGCAGCCTGTCCATCCTCCCACCCATTAGGCTTCTGGAGCCTTGATCTTCAACCACCACTGGCCACCCTTGTCCTGTGAATTTTGTTTTGATATGAATATTGATGTTCTTTATATTGCCAAGTATGTTAAAAATGAGACAATAAGCACATATGTTGGAACTTTATTTATTCATCAATGATGTGAATGATTTAATTTTTTTTCTGAATTTGAGAACAGAACTCACAATACTGGAATACTTGTCAGAACTGGATCGTGGCCTCCTGGGTTTTGGTGTGACTTGTGATGCACAGGGCCCACGTGATGGGTGTGCCTTATTTAACCTTATCACCTCTACTTCTTCAAGTTTGCCCAGGTGGATAACAAATAACAAATCAAGGGCTGACTGATATCCCTGGCAGGCTTGCACAGTGTAAATATCACCAGCATAGCCAATTTCAAAATACACTGAACACAGAGTTAGAGAAAGATACCCAGGACATCACACAATACAGTGTTCCTATCACCCCACTGCCATGTCAGTAGCTCTGAAAGTATGTGTTTAGCTTTCAAGGCTGCTGTAACCAACTCTCACAGACTGGAGGCTTGCACAATGGACATACATGGATGTACCACTCTGGAGGCCGATGTCCAAGGTCAAGCATAGTGAGAAGTCCTGTCCTGTGTGTCTCCCTACACTTCCAGTGGTGGCTGCAATCTTTGGGGTTTCTTGGCATGTAGAAGCATTACCCCCATCTTTGTTTCATCTCTCCATGTGCGTGTCTGTGTCCATGTTTCCCCATTTTATAAGGACACTAGTTGTTTTGGAGCAGGAGGTGTCCCCAAAAACTTCGTGTTAACTGGGTTACCTCAGTAAAGACTCAGTCACCAAATAAGGTCTGTCCTGAGGTGAGCAGGGGTGGGACTTAAACATATAAGCTTGGGAGAAGGTGTCTCCCCAGAGTGACCAACCAACCCTCTTATTTCAGTGCCGGAGCACTGAAAAGTTTGCATCCCAGGAAACTCTTTGTCCTAGGAAAACTGAATACTGGGTCATACTCACCTCCTAATCATAGAGTCACAGCCAAACAAAACAAAACAAAACAAAAACCACAGTTTGAGGGGCTGGGGAATTAGCTCAGAGGCATAAGTGCCTGCCTTGCAAGCAGACAGTCTTGAGTTCGATCCCTGGTACCAATAAAAACAAAAAAGACAAAAAAAAAAAAAAAAAAAAAAAACTAAAGTTGACAAAAATTAAGCAGAATATAGGGCAGCATCTCAGCAGATCTCAGGGCTTGATTCCCTGCCTAGAGGCAGAACTGGTACCCAGGGGCTTCTCAACAAGGTCTGCAGCGAGAACCAGCATGCAGAATCTGCATTTCTGGGTCAAGCCTCAAAGTAACAGGGTGGTGCAGCCAGGAGAGGTGACCCAAGGGCTGAGCAATGGTAGCACCAGAGCTGAGCTCAAGTTCTAGCTCTGTCACACAGTAGCTGAGTGACCTTGAGGAGATGGCCTACTTCCCTGTGCCTTGATTCTCCCATCTGTAAGGTCTTGGTGGTTGGTCGGCAGTTTCAGTGAGACCCACTATGGGAAGTACAGTGTCTAGCTTATGCCAGGCTGTCAGGAAGCAGAGCCAAGCAAATAGGAATGTGGACGCTTATTTTATTTTTCTGCTTTATAATTTTTTCCACTGTGGCTGGTCTAGTGTTGTGTGTACAATCAAAACAAAACAGAAACCATGAACATCTAGAAGCACCAATGCACATAAAATACAGCCTGAAACTAAATGTTAGCGGTGGGGGATGCAAGAGAGCTGTTGCAGGCTAGTTCCTGGGCATGTCTGCGTTCTGGTATGCATCCTTAGAAAAACCAGAGAGGCTGCTGAGCACTCTGAGCCTATGCCAACCCATGCTGGAACTAAAGCTTAAACAGGTAGCTCCCTGTGTAGCTAGCAACAGCCCAATTCAGCTCCCAAGTCAGAAAGGGGACCTGTGTTTGCAGAGCAGCCCAGCACAGGCTCCATGACCCACCCCCATTGCTTGACACAGATTCTGTTCCTGCTGCAAACTTGGGGCTTCTGCAGCCCCGGGGGAGGAAACGCCATTATACAGAAGGGGTAGCCACAGTACTTGCTGTTACATGGGGACCTTCTCTCTTCCCCTTGGCCCAGAGTCCTTCCCAATCATCAGCACATCTGGTTCAGAGTGAGACTGGGGAGGTGCCCAGGATACAGAATTTTAGGAGGTGCTCACTGTCAGGTAGTGACAACCCTGTTCCTCATGTGATTCTGGGAAGCAGGCTCTGTTCTTATCCCATCTTATAACAATAAATAAAAAATAAAGTAAATAAAAATCAAGACTCAGAGGGCCAGTCTCACTTGCCCTGGAAAGTAGTAGAACCAATATTTGAACTCAGGCCTATCACAATTCAGCTCCTGTTGACCTAACCACAGGGCCGTCTCTCCTCCTGACACAGGTGCCCTGCTGATCCTCAGGTGATCAGCATGGCAGAAAGTCATGGAAGCTGTTTGCAGGCTGGAGCTGGGGTCCCAGCTCTTTTCAGGCTCCCTGGGTGACCTCAGGCATGTCCCTTCTCTGGCCTCCATTTCCTTGTTGGCTGGACCAGAGCAGGAAGTGCAAATTACAGTGTCTGTGGGGTTGGGAGCAAAGCCAGGGAGAGTGGGGGAAGGTTGGCCATTGGGTGTAGAGGCCCTAGAGGGACCGGAGAGTCCAGGCCACCCTGGGAACACTGCTCAGCTCAGAGAACAGTCCTTTGGGCAAATATGGGTCCAATGTAGCCAGATACTCCAGTTTTTCAAAAGAAACCAGAAATGTGATATTAGTGTGAAAATCTCGCTAAAAGTTGGAAATAATTCAAAATTCAAAGCCAGTAGGGAAGCAAATGAAACCTCTAAAACCGGATTGCAGCTGTGGGTTTTTAGCTCACTCTCTTGACTTTATATCAGACAATGTAAGTGTTCCCCAGGGTCCAGCTGCCCCTCATAGGAATAGGATCTCTGATTTTAGCTGAGCCCAACACCCTGGGAATAGAAGCTTTCCTTACCAGCTTCCCTTGCAGTGACCATGTGACAAGATCTGGTTACTGGAAGCAAAGTCTACAACTTTGAAATGAAATCTTTAACAAAAGATGCATGCCTGCTCTTCCTATACCCTGTCCGCTGAGCAGAATAATGACAAAGTATTGGTGGCCGTGGACCTTCACACAGGATAGGATGAGGACAACATCCTGGGGATGGAAGAGCAAAAGAAGAGTGGGACCTGGGGCCTGATACCTGTAGGGCAGTGCTACCAGCCTGGGCCATTCCCTGGAAGTCACAGCACACCTGGCAAGGGCTTTAAAAAAAAATTGACATATATTTGGCCAAGCAGTGACTCAGGCCACACTGCCTTTACTTTAACTAACCCACTGTGAGCCATTTTGAGTTGACTTTTGGATGTCTTGAGAAATTTTTGATATGCTATAAGGTTTAGGTTTTTTGTACGTAGATATCCAGTTGTTCCAGTATATTTATTGAGTGTACAATCCTTTCTCCACTTAACTGCTTTTGCATCTTTGCCAGAAATCAATTGTCTGTTGTGTGAGTATCTATTTCGAGACTTTATAATGGTACATTTGTGGTCTGTCTACCTCAATATTAATGCCGTTTAGTCATGATTGGTGTAACTATGATAAGTCATGGGACAAGGGAGAGTTGGAGCTCTAACTTTGTTCCTTTATCAAAGTTGTTTAAACTATTCTGAGTCTTTCCTATTTTTACAGAAATGCAAAAATCAAAATGTCAATCTTTATGAAAAATGATTTCAGCAGTTTCATAAGGGATTGAGTTTTCTGATCTTCATTATTTTCTTCTATTTGTTTTTGGTTTTATTCTGTCTTTTATTTTTAATTTCTCAAGGAAAGATGTGAGAATATTTCATAACTTTCTTCTTTTCTAATAAATGTACTTTATTAGATGTAGAATAGAGTAGATGTAGTTGTTGTAGAATAAATAAATAAAAATTTAAAATTAACATTTAATAGCTCAGCATAAATATAGTGCACGCGGAAGTGCTACAACATACATTTATATAAAGACCTTATTCTTTTTAAAAAAGTGTTATTAGTGCATGCTTGCAGTATATAATGATTGTGTTCATTGTGTGGTGTTGGTAGATAACACATCTTAATTCTTTTTTGTTTGTTTGGTTTTTTTGTTTTGTTTTGGTACTAGGGATTGAACTCACAACCTCACGCTTGTCAGACAGGCACTTATGCCACTGACCTAAATCCCCAACCCTTAATTCTTTTTATGCACCTTTTCCTTTCCCCTTTCCTTCCATCTCTTGGTACCTTTCTCTTTTGCAAAAGATCTGTCTCCCTGTCTCCTATTATCTATATTTTATTTTGCTCTTTGTCTTACCCATATTTTGAGTTTCTCATATAAGAGAAGCCAGGTGATGTTAAGGTTGTGTGTCTGATTTATTTTACTTAGCATGATGGCATCAAGGCACATTCATTGTTCTACAATTAACTTACTCATCCCTCTTTGTAGCAAAGTGGTACTCCGTTGTGTGTAATTACCACACTTTCTTTCTCTGTTCACCTGTCTATGGACGTATAGGCTGCTTCCACAATTATTATGAACTGCGCTGCTATAAACATGAGTATTCATTTACTGTCATAGGACGTGTTTAACTCTTTCAGGAAGATAACTAGAAGAATAAGCCAGCAAGAGCTTTTTAAGGGTTATTCCTCAGGGCTCATTATTTGTTAATTGATTGATTTCTACAGTGCTGTGGAGCAAACCCAAGCCTTGTGCAGGACAGGTAAGCATTCTGCCACAAAGTCAGCCAAGGTTCATAATTTTAAACCCAAAACTGTCGACCCTGATCCCCACCCCTCCTGCCCATGTATGCATTTTACAGGTGGAGTGAGTGAGGTTCAGACAGGCGAAGCATCTACCTTCATCAGTGAAGTGCAGACACAGCACACACAGGATCCTTCCACTCCAAACAAAGCTGTAGAATTCACCATCTAGTCAAGCACAAAACTGATGCCATGCGTCCCTCTCAGGGGCCACTGTGTGATGAGCAAAGCCTCCCTGCACGGCCAGGGCCCCTACAAGTCCCAGATTTGAACCCCAATCCTATACTTATTTTGTTGTCTCCCCCAGCCCTGCCTGCCTCTCTCCAGGCTGAAGAGGCCTTCAGGATACTCCTGTCTTCATCCCATAGCAGCTGGGTGGCCTCTGACAAGTCAGTGTCCTCCTTGGGCTCCTCACAGTCCAGCCTTCTACCACTGATTTCACTGGTTTGGGATGGTGCTTGCTACTAATCGTTTTGTTCAAAGTCCTCATCTCCAGGCGACCCAGGAGAAGGGTGCTCGCTTTCCAAGGGGCTCCAGGACCAGATGCCAGCCCCTCACTGGCCTCCACACCATTCTCATCCCCCACCCCTGGAAATGCGTGGGCTGTGGGAGCCATGAGCTGGAAAGCCAGTTACACAGAGACCCCCTGAGGGGCCAAGTCCAGGTGAGGAATAAAACCGTTGGCTGGCCCACCTCGGGAGCTGCACCTGGTGCTCTGCAAACACCCCCGCTCTGGGCCCAGGAGCCTCAGCCCCGCCCCCAGTAGGCACACAGCCAGGGCCTCTCCCCAGAGCTTCTGCCAGCCTGCACTGCAGTCACACCCAGGAGGGCCACAGCATGTCGCAGCAGCACACTGGCCTTGGAGCCAGCCAGACAGGTCCTCCTCCCCTCACCACGTGCAGTGACCTTGGCAAGTCTTTTAGTAACCTTGAGCCTCAATAGGCCTAGTGTTGGCAACAAGGCCACCAAGTGCCCAACCCAGAATCCAGGCTGGAGCTGGTGCTGCAAACAGCTTCTTATCAAAAAGCACAGCAGGAAGGGGGACAATGAGAAGCTGGTTTTTCTTTTTTTTTTTTTTTTTTACTTTGTGCAAAAGTCAGTAGATAAAGGCCAATGGTAATAAATCAAACAACAGCAGGATCAGAGTGTTATTCATTGCTCTGGGGTAACCACCACCCACTGGAACTGTCAGAGGGGTGGCCAGGGGAGGGGCTTTGCATCGCAAACTCTTTTTACCAGTTGGTGTTTTTAAATACCTACTTAGTACAAATTATTTATTTAAAAGTTTTTTGGCCTGCCAAGTGTTGATTTGCAAGGTCAGTACGGTTAACAGAAGGATTTGGGGCCCATGAGGCCACATACAAGGAGTTACCAGG